TATATATATATACTGGATGCAAATACCTCTACATACTGATAAGTGATGTTTTATGCGTTGTAGATGACCGTCATCGAGTCAAGCTCCACTCCCTCCTTGCAGATCCCAGCTCCGATTATGTCAATGCCAACTACATAGACGTAAGTTACCTTTACTTTTATTTTTCCTTCTGCGTCGCCTCATACTCCCACATCTCTGCCATTGCTGATCATACAGCTCTGCCTTAACAGCTCATATTAGTTGTCTTTTATTGTTTTTGTTAACCTGGCGCTTGACCAGCAGTCACCTCCCCATGCTGTCAGCTAAATCCGAACTATCATTTAATGACTACATCCACAGCGTACCATAATATCTATCTGTGTTAGTACATGTAGGCTTTGAAATGAGATTTTATCGCTATATCTCTAAAGTTCCAGCAAGAGCCTGTAAGCTCTGAGCAGCAGGCCTTGCCCAAGTGCTTTTGTAAGGCAATATTGAGCATTGAAATTGGACCCAATATAACTCAGTTGATCCTTTCATATACTTTCAGATATTGTGATCTCACCTACAGTTCAGCTCGAGTGAGTGTCTCAGGGAGCCTCTCCAGTCCCAGCAGCAGTTTGCTCTCCCTTGAGATGCAATCTCTGCAGCTTTGCATTAGATGGAGCAACAGTGTCTGAAGGACTTTTCCTTCAGCGCAGGTCAGGCTGTGAGCTCTGCCGCTCACTCATAAATAGAAGGGTCACTTCAAGGGGACTCTGAAAAAGCTCTCCACAGTCTTCCCTTTATGTAGTCTGCTGAAGTATTAATCTCAGGTTTAATATGAGCCCGTATAATAGGCTGATTGCTCTGTCGCACCCTTTGTTTTAGCAATTGTTTTGTGAACAAAAGAAAACGTAAGAGGCGGATTTGTGGTTGCGGTCGCCTGACTCAGCATACGCGAGTCCCATCGGGTAGAACTGTGTGTGGCCACTTCATCCCCTTTAGTGCTCCATGATGCCTCCATTAGAACGAGTGCTCCAAGGACCTTTGTGCCATTTACTGTGCAGGTTACAGCACCACTTGCATGTCATGCCAAGACCCTTGGCTCAAAATACTGCAGTGAAATGATTCCAAATGATTCATGGAGGAGGCCAAGGCTGGAATAATGGAACATTGCTTTTTTTAAAGGTTAAACTGAAAAGTTTAGTAGTCTTCTCACTCATTCACGTGCACATTTGCATGTCTTTCATTTTGCAGGGGTAGCAAGACGTGACATTATTTTGTAAAATCTTTAGATGAATCTTGTTTTTGCCATCTAGGCTGACAGATGTAACTCCAAAAGATGCAATTAAATTTCAGGGGACTTTGATATTTTGTTAGGCACTCGGGAAGTGATGCCAGCTACAGTTGGTTGCTTTCGATTAAATGGAAGTTTGAGAATGACTGAGCAAACAATCAAAAAGCTCGAGATAAAATTCCGGTTTAGCAAAAAGCTCAATATAACATATTTATCATTGTCTCGCTTGTCATTGTGCGTCACCTGGGGAAGGCAATCTGACCAAGATTATTTTGCATGGTACTCAAAGCACCATTAAAGAACAATTCCGGTTTCATCAGCTTAGTTTACTCAACTTTCAGCTGCATCATTTAGAATGTAATTTAGTTTTTGGCTTTCTCGATTTGCAATAACGCTGCAAATAGTAACACAGTACATGCAGTGTTTTGCAAATGTATTGAAACCACCATCCAATGTACGGTTTATGGAACAGCTGCCCACAATTAATAATATTGGTAATTACTATTATTTAATATTTCTGCAATGGTTAATCCACCAGTATGCACAAGCCCTTTAATCAAAATGATATTTTTAACCTGTAAAGATTATTTTGGCCAAATGCTTAGTTTTATTATAAACTGTGACTTTCAGACTAGTTTTGTTGCTCAAACTTTTTGTGCAGTGTCTCTGTGTTCCCACATCTCAGCTTAGTTCACCATAAAATTAACACAGAAACTGTATTTTCTGCCTAAAAAAAACTGGTATCCTTGTTACGTTAGACTGTCAAAAAGTCAACACAATTTTATTAATTTAAGGTAAAACTGTGGTTATGGCATATATACCACTCCACCCTCTTCATTTGTTTTCTCACACAAATTTTAAATAAGAATTTATCCAGACTGGACATAACTTCTATGGAATCTCTGAATTCACTGCAATTTTATGAACAATTCATAGCATGTATTGAGTAACATTTTGTAGTTCCTAAGGCACCATGTTCCCTCCTTCTCTGCAGAACTTATTAAAGTGTCATTGATGTTATTAAGAGCTTGGATAACGCTGGATTTTTACTGCTCTCAGATGATGACCTGCTGCTGCACTCTTTTTTGCCCATTTTTAACAATCCAAGTAAAGACGTATGATTGAACTTCTCATTCTCTTCCTGCAAGACAAATGACTAAAAGACTGCGGTTGCTATATAACAAGAGTTGGCCTTTATCGCAAAAACATGGAAATGAAAGATTTCTGGACATTATTCTCTCCACAGGTTTCCAGTGCAAACTGCTTTCTAACCATTTCATAACCTTTTTCTTCTGGTCTTTAATCACATTAACTAGCTCTTATTTCCTCCCCTACTTTCCTTCTATATCTCTCTCTGTTCCCCACCCTCCCTTGTTTTCAACCTTTTGGCATCTCTTAGATTCGGATAAACAGGGAAGTAAGTATCTTGCTTCTCTTCTGCTTTCCATCTTCTTTTCATGCCACCCCCTCTGGCTCTCCCTGCCAGCCCTCCACGGCTTTTCTTCTTCTTTTCTGGCAGATCCTCCTTTGCTTTTCCTCTCTGAGCTGCTGAGCCTTTCCACTTTTAGCCCTCACTGTTCCTCTGAGTTTTAACTTTTTTCTCCCAAACTGACCTTAGCAGTCTCATCCATAGTCAAATGCTCACCTGGAGTTTTTAACATCAGTCTCAGTTTTTTTGTATAAAATGGTTGATAGGATACTCCAGAGGAGAAAAGACGAGGTCAAAGCTCATGTTTATACACACACAGTATGACAGGAGGCATTATAAATATATACAGTGACAGTGAACAGTAAAGAAAACCCTGCTTTTCCAGTGGTATGAGAGCCCATATTTATCAGGCATCTCAGAGTAAGATAGTAGGTGCAAGATCACACTAGAAAACAAAAAAAACCAATTATCTTCACAAAATAGATGTCATCGTCGGCTTGACTAAAAGCTAACCTGGTAGTAACCCACAAAAGCACACCAAAATAACAAGCTCTCTAACTGCCTGTCATAGATATGCACATGTTGATAAACACCTGAGCTTGATGCATCTCTGCTGTGGCAGCCTCGCAGGCTGTCTGGCTCTGGGCTCTGACCCGTTTCTATATAAAATCTCAGACTTTTGTTAATTTACAATATCTGACTGCTGCGACCTTGTTTCATATCACGGCAGGTCATCTTTGGGTTAATTAATCACACACCGGCTTGTGTCAGGAGAAGAAAAAAGATGAATATTGTAATTAAAGATGTGAAAATGTTATTCGACAGTTGTGTGTGTTGTGTCAAGTAATCTTAAATCATCCATATTAGCTAAATGTCAAATCTATTTCATGGCAATAAGCAAACAGTTTACTCCCTGAACTATACCTGAAGTATAGCTACAAAAGTGTCTGAAGCTGCACAACGTCTTCAGAAATCAAAACGCTAAATGACACGTCTGTCAAATCAAACGCTGACAGAACAATGAGTTCGCTTAAGTGGTGACGAGAACTTATGAATTACATTTTGCAGGCAGTTGTTACCTGAAAGCAGCAGAGAACTGCTTTTTAAAGTATTTATTTAGAGAATTTATTGCAGTGGAGAAGATACTTCAGTGGAGTCAGGACAGATAGAACACATGGACAACATTATAGTTTGATCCAATTTTAGACTCCTCACCCCAAAATTCATATATCATCAATGTTATGATAGTCTGCAGTTAATAAGGGCAGTTCTGTCCAAATTTTCAACCATGTATGAAAGCTCTGCATGAATTGATGGGCAGATGCTGTTTTGCTGTTCGAAGTGCTACTGAGAGCAGGACACACATGCAACAGTAGGAGATGACTTCCAACAAAGCAATTCGAGTATTTTGCTGCTGCCTACATGATCAGAGTAAAAAGAAATACATTTTCTAGGAAAGGCTTTCTATTTACCAATACCAGCATGAGGAAAATGATGTTAACGGGAGTGTACATATTAGGAGCTGTTTCTTTTTTTAAGATAATAATAAGATTTGGTGCAAACATCTTGTAGCAGCTTTTGAGTGGGACGTACTGTAATTGCTCCATTTACACAAAGAACTCCACAGGATGTTTCTTTCTGGTTTTCTTTCAAACAGGATTAATTTGTGGCCCCTAGAATCTAAAACACATTAGCAAAGTATTGAATATAATATGAGTAAGATTTGCTAAAATATATACTTAGCCTTTTTTTACGCTTAAGTAGCTCATCGTACACCCGCAGTTATTTTGTTTCTCGTGCAACTGCTTTACAAATGCAGGCCGTGGTTCTCGGCTGAATTGCTTATTCTCACTGTTTTACGAGGAGGACACAAAAATCTCTCTGACATCCTTGACTGCTATCAGCGAGGATGATTAAAGTTCCTACGGGGTTCTGATATGCAGTTCTGAGATGCACGATGAATATGAGTTCATTTCACGAAGGCCTGGTTTTGCTTGTCACAGGTTGTAGTTGGAACGAGACAAATTTGTCAAAGCAAAACAAACTGAGAATCGTTTTTTTTTTTTCGTCTTATTGTGATGGAATTGATACGCGTTCCACGTCTGCATGTCTTTACTTTTTCCTTTTCAATCCATTGTGAATTCACATCGCTTCGTGTTTTTCTGCTTGCCTGCTGTTGGAAACTGTGGTTGCCAAGGTGACAGACAGGAAACCGGTCAGCTCAGGGGAAACTCGGCAACAGAGGCTCATGGGAATGGGTTCGCTGCAGTCTTTCGTAGCGTTGACCATCCATCTCGGCATTGCTCTCCGGCATGACAGTTATGGAATGTAATTTGTGTTCCTGCTTGCTCAGTAGTGCATACATGTATATGAGCTCGAGGGGCTACAGGGACTGCGCTCTGTGTGTGTCTGTACAGTATTTTTTACAAATGTTTACTGAATACAGCGGCTGCAATCACTTTACCTGTGATTCATGAGAGAGCGCACTAATCTTAATTCTGGGGATCTATCATGCTCGACTACTTTGCATTCAGCACACAGGTCTTTGCCTGGTGGAGGGCCAGAACGCCACTAATAGCCTTCCAGGCCGTGCACACTGTATCATAACTGCACTAATGCCAAGCAGAGCAGAAAGGAGACAGCCAGATCAGTCAGTGTCACTCAGGTAGAATTACTCCCAGAGCTGAAGATCGCTCACTTGTCAATCTACCTTTGATCAGCAGCCCAGGCTGCATGCAAAGCAGCACACACTAGGCTGCCTTTGAAATGCAGCTCCCTTGCTCTGGAATGAATGACCTGGCTCGGAGACAGGCAGAGAGAAACTTGAATTAATGCCATTTCTTCCTGCATTATAATTCAAGTGAGATTCTTCACCCAGAGCTAGGGCCCAAAAACAGTCCAAAGAATCTTTGGCTGGTCAAACACACACACATACAGATTAGTTCTCAGAAAGATCTTCAGTCAAAGGTGGAGCACACCACGTCCCACCAAGGCCCGAGCTGGTCCCAGAGTTCACGTTATCATGTATCCCTGTAATTATTAACCCTCTGTCTGATTTCATTTTTTTTTCTTATCTCCACTCTCTGTCCCACAGGGCTACCAGCGATCAAACCACTTCATTGCCACTCAAGGTGAGTGTACAGCACGAAACCCAGCAGCAGTGTGTCACCGCTGGTATTTCAGATTGTGTGAAGCGCACTTTGCGCAACAGCAGCCCAGCTGACAATATGAAAATGAGTTAGCTGAATTAATAATGTGTAAACAACAAGGAGCCCGCGTTGCATCACGTTCACATCTGGATTTCCACCACAAACAAGCCTTTTCCTCCATCTGTGAGAAACGCTCTCAGAGCAGCCGACTGTACCCGTCAGTCAGCCGACACTGTAAACTGCTGAGTGTCGCTGTGTCTGAAGTTCTGCTTCCGTCTCTCTCCTCCCTGCCATCTGCATGTGTGGCACAACATCTCTCTGATGTAGTTTTGATAAACTATATAGGCTGCATTTCCCAAGCGGCACACTCAGGCACACCCTCACTCAGAGCGAGACAGAATGAAAGAGAGACGTGCACTGAGCGAGAGAGAGAGAGAGCAAGACATTTCCTCTGTTCTCTGCCGACTCTGATCCTGTTTATTCACCGAATGTGTTTTTCACTCTGTAATCCCCCTCTGATTTCTTCCCATCTTTCACTTTGCTCTCAGTTCTGCCGCTTCTCAAAAGTAACCTCTGAAAATTTCTCTCCTTCTCTTTCTTTAACGTTTTGCTCTTCGTGCACACACGGGCGCAGGCGGGAGGTGGAAGGGGTGCCAGTGTGACTTTCAAGTAGAAGTAAAAATTTACTTTGGGTTAAGATGCCATTTTTTCAAAAATATTATTAAGCTCAATTGAATCCATTAAACTATGATCAGCTCTTATTTGTTTCCCTGCTCCAACATAAGTTAATTTGACTTTCCAGTCTCGCACAAATATGATACTTTTAAAATTCTTTTTTTTTCTTTTGTCATTGATGGAGAAATAAAAATAGCTCCAAACTCTGTAGTCGATGCTCAAATTAAATGAATTAATTTAAAATGGAAAATAACTGATTATTCTCTGATATCCAGCCTTAGGTCTGACAACAGACTTTATCAGCGCTTTACATTGTAAGTTGTTAAATGCAACTTACAGCACAAAGCAAGACATATTTTTGTTGAGAAAATTACTTTTAGAATATATTAAATATACATTTAATGAAAACTAGCAGCTATAATTGCCTGTGTCACTATTAACTTAGTGGAACTAAGTTTAATCGTGCATAACTTCAAGCCATAATTCAATTTAAATGGTTGTTATATAAAAATACAATTTCTTATTGTTTTTCTCTTCTCCTATAGAGTTGTGATGAAGGCATGAAGAAAGAATTTAGCGATAGACATCAAAACTTTTTTTTTTTTAGCAGGTCTTAAAGTTTTATTTCCTGGACACTTTCAGCGTCACTCAGTGGGGACTCAGTTCTGAAATACATTTGCTCTTTAAGGATCAGAAGGTTGCTGCTTTATTTGCTGTTTGCTGAAAGTCCATTTTATCTTCGTTTTCAATTGTAGTCTAATATATTCATGAGTTTGGGTTCCTAAGTTACCATATGTTTCATTTTTTGGAGATCTGAATCTATCTGAATTTGAGGAGCGGTACCACGCCTCCAAACACGCCCCTTCCGGTTCTTATCTATATATGACCCCCCCCAATTCTACAAGCTGTTTGCTCTTGTTTTTGGGCCCTACCCTTCCTCCCCTTTATCAATTCATTCACTTCTCATTAGGGATGCACCGATACCACTTTTTTAGAAACGAGTACGAGTACTTGCATTTCAGTACTCGCTGATACCGAGTACTTAATAAAAACATGATTTAAATTTGCAGGTAACAGCTTTAGTCCTATAATTTAACAAAAAACAAACAAACAAGGGAGTAGTTTGGAATTAAGAACATTTATTTAAAATGAAAAGCATGTTGTATGCAACATATTACAGAATAAATAATTATAAAAAAACAAAATTTAATTTTAAATTTCTTCGTGTGTTTCTCTGTTTAGAAGTCTCACTAGCACAGTCACAGCTGGGATGACATCAGAGGCTAGTGCGTCGTAGCTGCTCACTTTTTTAGTTAGTTCCTCAAAGGGGGCGAGGATGGCAACAGTCGTCTCCATAAGAGCCCATTGGTGAGCGGTGAGACAGTCATCCCTACTTCTCATTAGTACATGGGGAACTGCCGCCAGTCCCCTCCGAGGCCTTCCCCAAACCGCAGCTCAATACATGTTTAAGCCATTTGCCTTTTTCTACTAAAAAAATGCCAACCACCTAAACTGAGGACTTGGGCCCAGGTAGTAAATTGTCCTTGAAACATAATCAATTCATAAATATGTAAAATGTAAAACTAGCTGAAATTATAAATAACACCATGGAAATAAGTTATAGTTGAGGAGGTAACAGCATTACTGTAGCTGTGAGACTCATGTACTGTAGAGTGTACATACAGTGACTCATCATTAAAGCTGCAATTTGCCCCTCACACTCTGCACACTCCTAGCATCATGCTGTGCATACGTGTGCCGTGAGTCCCGGGTGGTCAGCTGTGGCGATGTGTTGGGTTTGATTTGTTGTATCTTAGATGAGTCGTAAGACAGCTGAGCTCTTGCAGCAGGTGCTTTGGGCTAGCTCTCTATTATGTCCAGGGGAGCGGGAGGAGACGGGTGATAGGAGAGGCAGACAGGGAGGAGAAATGCTAAGTGTACTCCACAAACTCCGGTCCACAGTGGCAGTAAGTTATGCCGTGCATACAGATTTACCCAGCTGCTGGGATCAAACATGATCCATCTCTCGCCTGACTGTCCCCTCCCTCTGGTGATGTATTAGGGCGCTTCTCCTACTGCTGAAAAATTATCATCTCGCATATCTAATACACATAAAATAAGACTGCAGCAATCGCTAACAGGGGCGCGAGCCATGAATAACCTGTAAGGAGGAGGAAAAACAGTGGTTAAAGTAGCTGCCCACGTGCGCACATTAAAAAGTACTCAGGCTGGAGCTGACTCACCTTGGGTTGACTGGAATCAATACAGACCAGTACACGGCTGTTACGAAAGCCAGAGCTCTTGTCATGCTCTGATTTTAACAGTAACGCTGTTCCTCCTCCTGTTGTCTTTGCATGTTTGCCCTGGGGCATGTAGTCAAAGGCATGCTTTTGATTCCACAACTGTGCAAATAAAAGCTGTGAAAACAAGCACTGCTTTATATCTCTTTCTATTTATTTATCTGTTGAAACGCAAAGCCTCAGAAACCCTGTGTTGCCTTTCTCATTTAATTTTTACACAAATTAGAGTTATTAAAAAAAAAAGAAAAACACCTGAAGCTCTCTGCCCTCTCTCTCCTTTGGCAGGACGGACTTTTGAAGTGCCTTTTTGGTAGCCAGTGTGTACAAGCATTCATTGTTTCAGCTCTTTCAGATATAAACTTTAAGGGTCACTGGACTTCTTGAAGTTTGTGGGAAAAACTTCACTGTGTTCCTTGAACTCTACCTCAGCAGTTTCTCCACTATGTGGGGGGCACATTGCTCTGCTGGGAGGGTTCTGCTGCCGACATGTCATTGATCCAGGAGGTGGAGCTCGGGTGGGAGGGTTGTATGGAATTATGCTTGCAGGAATACCAGGACCCAAGGCTTCCAACCAGAACATTGCATTCTAAGCAAGCGATTAAGTGATCAATGTTTTTTCACATCACACACTGTTTTTTTCTCACACAGTTGACTTTAAACAGTCAGGCTGCTCTTTTTAATCTCAATGTCAGGGCATGAAACTACCTGACATATCTACGTTTGGAGATCACAGTCAAAGGGGAATATTTGAATTAGTTTGCAGGACTTTATTAAAAGGATTTGGAGGCTTAATCAATATGACCATTACAGAAAGTTAATTTCTGACCACCCGCACGTACAGTGCATCTATATTTCTATTTCCCAGTAAATCTGGGAATCTGCTGAGACAAACACTGGTGAGCTGTGGCCACTGAGTTTGCACGGACAACAGATAAGATAAGATATTAGAGAAGATAAAATAATATAAGATAAACCTTTGTTAGTCCCACACGTGGGAAATTTGTTTGGCCACGGCAGACAGTGGGCAGTACAAAGTTAAGAGCATCACACACAGTCTTGAAGTCCATTATCATATGTGCCTCAGTGGAGGTTTTTGTGTTAGTCCCAGCTTTGAGAGGATTTTTTTTCACCTCGTGTGTGCTTGTTCTTTCCTACATATATCTCAAGATTTGAATAATATGTACTTTATCAAGGAAATCATTGCATTTAAGGGTATTTCCAGTAGCTTTTTAAAAAAAAATTATTTGCTGCTTTAAAGAGAATTTCAAGCAGTGTGTACTTTGTGGTTTTTTTGTTAACCGCTGCCAAAGTGTGGCCCACTCATGTTTTGTAACATTTTCTGGACAGCAGTGAAGCTCCATGCAAAGAGGACAAAGATGTGTAAGAATGCTGATTATGCAGTCATGGCTTAGTAGTAGTGACTCTTCATTGTTTAGTATAGAAAATGTCAAATATCATCAGCCTGATGATTTAATTGTCTGTGAGGCTCAGTTGTGATCTTGGGCCCAGATTTACACAGGAAAAATTACTATGTGAATGTTTTTGCATACAAAGACATTTAGAGCAGTTACATGAAAGAAGATGATATTTCTGTTAGACAAACTGTGTGGGCTGAAATGAATCGATACTTCGTTCGCTGAAATACATGTAGTGTGTTTGGCAGAGGAGTCAGTATGAAGGAGGACCTTGTGATATTATTAACACAACAGTGTAATGAAATCAATGAAAGTGTCATCTTCTCCTGGAAGCTGTGATTTGTGTCAGCCACTGGTGCCTGGGAAAGGCAACACAGAAGCTTATTTGCACAATGGCGGAGGATTTGTGGGTGTATTGAAATGACATTTCTCCGTAGTATTAGAACAGAGAGCGGGCAATAGTTCATGAATGACACATTGTTACTCTATTCCCTGGCATGGATTACACGCTGCCTGTACATTGATGGTTATTGCTGCTATTTTCTCTGACTTATTATCATCTCTCTTCCTCCCATATCGTCCTCTCTCCTTCTGTAACTCCTCTTCCTCTTCCTCCCTGTTTCCACTCTTCCACCTGTAACTCTGTTGTGTATCTCCTCCTCCACAGGCCCCAAGCAAGAGATGATCTACGATTTCTGGCGGATGGTTTGGCAGGAGAACTGCTTCAGCATTGTCATGATCACCAAGCTGGTGGAGGTGGGCAGGGTAGGTTTCCCTCGCCTTTGTCGTGTGACCTCTTTAGCCGCCTGTGAAGATGAATGGAGAGATGGATTCTGAAGTTCCCTTTATCAAGGGCTATATATTAGAAGAGCTGCTCCACTCTGTTTTTGTGGGAGGAAATGGCAGCAGCTGTCTCATCATGAGTGATCACCTTTTACTTTAGTGGCTGTGGTCCAAGGTCAGAGCTTTGATGTTGATGAAGGCCTATGGTGAAGTACCAGAATACAGTAGACTCTTATACTCTTCCTATCTGCTGAATGCAGAAAGCTACAGTTTGTACTCAAAATGTGTACAAAAGCAACTGTACAATTTCTAAAATATCATAACTAGGAAAGATACCTCAGTTAGGGAAGCATTATTAGTAGTGAACAGAAAAGGTCATACTGTTGGGATACCACAAACTGTTATACTACAGTCACACCAGCAAAAACAACCCACAACACAACCAAACTTACTGCAAAATGTTTGCAGTGATCTCTTTGCCTTTGAAACAGTTCCTCGGGCACATGATCTACATCTTCAGAGCAGCTTTGGTGCATGAGGACATGTCGGTTTGCAGTTGAATGAGAACAAATTGCTGATTGCATGCAATTTGGTTTGTTGTAATACAACAGTGAACTGTAATAATTTGGCATCTGTTGCAAACATGTTGCAATCTACACAGAAATTCACATTAACTGTACACATTCAGAACCTCATAGAGTTGAGAGAAAACTTCAGAAACTCTTCCACAAAGAATAACGCACTTGCTGCAGGACAACTGCAAAATGGCATAAGTGCAGACAGGTGCTCCACAACTTTGCCTTTACATAGATTACAAACAGCTGGCAACCAGTTAAGTTGAGTCCCCAATTTTAAAGAGAGTTGCAGTCATCAGCAGAGACTGGCTCAGACTGGTTTGCCTGATTTTATAAATTAGAAGGCAGTCCAAGTAGCACTGCAAGTAGCACTGTCACTCACCTTGCGATCGAAAGTGGTTACCCAGAAGTTGAGGGTGCCGCATGCTCAGGCTTTGGGCAACCGTTTGATCACAGAAATTACTTGCAATTGTTTGCTGAATGTGAAAAAAATCAATGCAATTTCTGGGCAGCAATTTGTCCCTAATTGCAGGGAGGTTGCCATCCCATTTTTACTCTCGTGTGACTGAGCTTTTAGGTAGTTTTCTAAGTAGTTTCTTGGGTTGCTCTATTGAAACCTAAGAAATATCTTAACCAGTAAAGTAATTGACTGTTTGCGGTTGTTAAATATTTTGTGTGTAACTGACCTATTTTATATTAATATGTATTTCACCCTAAATATGATTGAGTCTGTAGCAAATCTTACTATGCTTAGTTAAAAAGAACATTTAGATTGACATTGCTTTAGTGTAATGTTTTACTTCAGTACATAGTAAACAAACATCTTGTGTCAGCTCAGGTTAGTGATCGTATTTAAGTTTTCATTTTTTCTTAACTTTACAGTCTCTGGATCCTAAATTAGCTAGCAAGTTTGTTAGATAAATAGCTGTGTTTAGTATTGTGTACATTTCAATAGACTGTAATAGACAGATTACTGGAAAGAATGCTTTAAATCATGAAAATAAATGAAAGGCCTGCACCTCACAATCTTCTCCACAGATTTCTTCTCACTAATTTTAAACTGCAATAAATTTCAAGCAGGCTTTTAGAATAGAAGTTACAGTTTACCAGTTGTTTCCCTTTCAGAAGCATAAATTAAACATAAAGCATACAAATGGAACGGCATCTCTTTTTGTGAAATTCAAATAACTTTCCAACCACACGTCGAAGCAAGTGTCGGCCAGGGTCACATATTAACAGGGACAAAAAAAATAATAAAAGCCTGAACTGTGAAATAATTAATCAATTTTAAATTAATTTTATGAAACCTTCTGTCAATTAAAAAAATTAAGAAATATAAATGTGATTTTTATTTTAAGAACTTGTTCTACGTCCAGCATTTTTGTACAATTCAAAATACATTGTGCTATTTATTTAGTGTTTTTTTAAGAAATAAAATCACATTGATGATGTAGAGGCCATCACCCCCATCGGTCACAGCAGATGGCCGCCCCTCTTTTTCCTGATTCTGCTGGAGGTTTCTTCCTGTTAGAAGGGAGGTTTTTCTTCCCACTTTTGCCAAGTGTTCATTCATAGAGGAGGTCGTCTGATTATTAAGATTTTCACTGTCACTGTAGCTTCCTTACCCTATGATATAAAGCACTGTGAGGTGATTATAACTGAACTGAGCTGAATTAATACCTGGTTATATTAATTCAGCCATACATTAACTATATTTAACCTGTAACTGAACTTTCTTTGTTCAGATGAAGTGCTGTAAGTATTGGCCCGATGACACAGAGCTCTACGGTGACATCAAGATAACACTGCTGAAGACTGAAACACTTGCAGAGTACACTGTGCGCACCTTTGCCATGGAGAGGGTGAGTCATACTCTTGCATTATTTTTATATCAAACCTGTGAGTGTGGCCGGTGTGCGTCATTTGTACCCAGCAGCTCAGCTCTCATGTCTTTTTTATTTCAGCCATTTCACTTCGTATCACTTCACATTACACCTGACTCATTGTTTGTTTTAGAGAGGTTACCCTGCCAAACATGAAGTGTGCCAGTTCCACTTCACCTCTTGGCCTGAGCACGGCGTGCCGTACCACGCTACGGGCCTGTTGGCTTTCCTGCGCCGGGTCAAGGCCTCGACTCCTCCTGATGCTGGACCTGTGGTGGTCCACTGCAGGTAACATCCCTTCTGTCCCGATAATAAGCAAATTGCGTAACAGATATGGTGGCTGTAAATACTCCCTCCTATAAATACGCCATGTTCAACATGTTCCAGTGCGCTTAGATTGCACTGGGTTTTTTTTAAGCTTCAGTTTGTGTTTTTCTGCATTTCTCAAAATAACTGTCAGCTTCTCTGTGCTGTGTTTGTGTTGTGGAGAGCACAAAAGTGTTGATAAAATAAAATGCTTCACACATACCAAGAAAACATTCACAAAGACGCAGGTGGTAGGATTTTTCACAAAGGACAAGGACAGCATCTGGCTTTTCAGGGAAGAATTTTTTTTAAGCTTTCTGGCAACTAATAATTGTTATTAGACCTGCAGCAGAAGCTTTTGCTCACAGATTTCTTTTTGATCCATTTGGGCATTTTTTTTAACATAGAAAATATAGAAAGAAATATAGAACAAGTTCTCATGCTACAATCACGATTAACTTACTTCTACTGTAGAGAAATTGCTAATGTAACACTGCCAACAGTTTGTCAGGGCTGCTGTGAAAGCTGTGAATTGAACTCTGGTGCATTCTAAGGAGCTTGGAAAGAAAAGCATCTGGATTTCTTTAGGTTGCTTGAACAACATAAAGAAATCCAGACGCTTTTCTTTCCAAGCTCCTTTGACTACGATGACCTGGATGACTGAGAACCTTCACAGACAACTCTGGTGCATCTTATAATAAGCCATCTGTATAAGTAACATAGTTTCTGTTTGTGCAAATCATTTGGTAACTATGGTAACACCCTGTCAGCTTATTAAATCCATTAGAGAACTTGACAGCAGCAAACCTGTGCCAATACTTCACAGCGAAACCAAGTTTGAAAATGCCTTTATTTCATTCTGTCTCTACCTCTTTGTCATAACATACAATGATGTGCAGGATAACTGTTCCTACAGCCTTCACTTTAACATGGAGCATGACTTGCTCTGCTCCAATGAAATTTATTTTATTTCAACACCTGGGATCCCTAAAGTGCTTAAGATGCTGGATGAAAGTCAAAAAAATGTCATATGAATCAATTAAATGCCAGTTTGAGTAACAAACGGCTTTACAACAAACAAGTCTGAATGCAAAAATCCAGTGTGTGTACACAAGTAGCTGCCGTATGTAATCACTCACAACAGAAAAACTAATGAGAAACACAAATGAAATGAATGAATGTTTTAAAGCCTAATGTCAGTGTTTTTGTCAGGTTGCGCTGTGTGCAGGCAGGAATGGTGGACCCAAAGTGCAGACTCCGGAGATAGAAAGTAACTCAAAAAAGTAACAAAACTGAGTATCCAAAATAAACTTACACGGACAGACAGCCCACACAGCAAGATGAGGGCAGATTGC